AGGACAGGAACTCCACAAGGAGAGCAACAGAACAAGAAAATTTGAACACAGGGAACTTCCCAGAGACTCATACTCCAACCAAGGACTATTCATGGAGATAACCAAGAACCCCTGCACAGATGTAGCCCATGGCAGGTCAGTGTCCAAGTGGGTTACCTAGTAATGGGAAGAGGGACTGCCTCTGACATAATCTGATTGGCCTGCTCTTTGATCACCTCCCCCTGAGGGGGGAGCAGCCTTACCAGGCCACAGAAGAGGACAATGCAGCCACTTTTGTTGAGAACCTCCCCTATCAGTGGACTTGGGGAGTGGCATGCATGCAGAAAGGGGAGGGAGGGTGGGATCGGGAGGGGAGGAGGGAGGGGCTTATGGAGGGATACAAAATGAATAAAGTGTAATTAATAGAAAAATTAAAAAAAATATATGGATTAAAAAATAATTTTCAAGACAGGGAGAGAAAATAGCTCAAACACATGGGTAAAGAGGAGGATGTGGATCCCCACTTTGTAGCCCAGGTTAATGGATTATTGAAGGTGATCTTATGCACACAAAACACTTCCAAATGTAACCTGTGCAGTTTTTCAAATTCTACTCCCCAGGTTTCTGTGTGACAAATGAAGGGAGCTTTGTGCCCTGGTGAGCTCCTGTCTGGACCCCAGATTAGGCACAGACCACAGTCCACAAACCGATTTCCACCACAAAGGGATCCTTTCTTAAACAAGAGGGGAGACTGGATGGCTGACTCTGAATAGAGCAGAAACAGAAGCGGGTGGCTCTATGGTTTTTCAGGAGGAAAAAAGGGGAAGTCCGTGTTAGGGTGAGTTGGTAAATTGTTAGAATGGGTTGGTCAGTGTAGCCTAATAAGGAGTTTTGGTAACTAGACCTTCATGGTCAGCTTCAGGAATGAATCAGGCATGAGGAAGTGGCCAAGGAAGAAGTGCTGAGTAAAAACAAGTTGGGGGAAGGGCACCGTATTTGCTATGTTTGCCCAGTTAGAACCCTTCCACAACTGAAGACAAAACAAAACAAACAACAACAACAAAAAAAAAGTGTAAAAAAAAATTTATTATCAACGAAAACAGACAGTGAGAGAGCAAGAAGTGGTTAGGTCACTGTAAAATGTCCAAATCACATCAGAACCTCACACTGTCACTTCTAAATTATCACTTCTCAGCAGGGTGGAAATACAGACTCAAGCTGCCCCGCTTGCATCCAGCAGCACCATCGCTATGCTACAGAGAATGCTTAAGTAACTTAATTCTTCTCACAAAACCTGATGTTGTTGGCAGCTTCTAATCTGGCTGGGTGCCCTGACATGAATTGCAGATTCTCTGTGCTTCTTTGGAGAGGAGTTTGAGGAGGATGAAAGCAGATGCAGGGAGACACAGATGGAGCCCAGAAGCCAAATAGCATGAGGCGCCTCACTACAGCAGTGGGTTTGGCAGCGTCACACTGTTTTAAGGAAGAAAGGTAATTTTCTATAAAGTAATTAGATCTTCACTTAAACACACCATCGCTGTGACTGTATTTTGTTTTCATTGACTTTGGAAAATATCCTTTGAATATAAGTAAAAATTAAGTGGCTAATTTGGGTAGTTACGGGTTGGATTTTTGTTGTTTGAAAGACAGTTATGGGACCTGGGGGTTGAAGGCGATTATTTCTTTGGAACATATCTTGCCTTGTCTTCACAAGCTAAGTCAGTGTCAACATTTCCAAACACGAAGCACAATGAAAGGCTGCTGTTGCCTGGCCTGTGAAAAGCCTTAAAACAATGCCAAATGTTTCTCTTTCTACCACTAAGCCTCTTAGGGCTGCCATAGGGATCTTAATAGGGGCTCTTGTAGAACACTATACTCTCACTCCTGTGGCTGAATGCCATTCCTGCAGTAACTTCCCCCAAGGACAGGGCTTTACAGAAAGAGTTTCTTGTTGATAATCTACCATGATTGTCCTCAGTCTACCTTCTGTCCTTGAGGGAAATCTAACCATTCTACTTTGGGAAAGTGGCGTGATCTACCTGAAAAGTGTACAGTCTACTGCCTTTATAGCCTGTAGTAGCAAGTGCCCATTGATTTGCTCGCTATATGTTATGCAAGGTACTGTCTTTTGTTTGGACATTTGCAGTTTTATCCTATTAAATTCAGAGATGTCTTCAGCTTGTTTACTGGTTAGATAATCTTCAGATGGCAAAAATAAAGTAGAACAAAAACAGATTATAGCTGTACATAGAAAGTTTGTAATTGTGTCTTAAGTTTTAATTTGGAGATGTGGTCTATTTAGGTCGTTTTTACAGGTGAATATGTCCTGGAGCCTAGAAGAGATATCTTAGTGATCACTGTGGGATGGCAGAAATTTATGCTGCCAAGAAGTATAGGTCATCCACTTGGCAATCACATGGACTTCAGAAAATGCTTACAAAAGGCCATTTGTGGCCTTGCAGTACTAGGAAAGACAGACTTTGTGTGTCTTAGCTACTGTCAGAACCCAGCTGTGATCTGACTGTTGGTGGCTTAGCAAGCAAAGTGTAGAGACTGCAGGATGCCTTCTGCAAAGGGTAGATTACTTATGACCCAACAAGCTCAAACTTGTATCTGAAGCAGACACAGGTGGCTTTAGCTTGCATGCTTTAATTGCTTACTTCATAAGCTCAGAATTTTTAAAGTAAATGTAGATAAAATAAAGATTTCACGTTAGGCAAAAGGAAAAAAAAAAGCAAGCAGTTAAGCAAGAAAGCTCACATTATTGCCTTATAATCTCTTTATTCTTTGTCAGAATTTTCTGACAGCATTTGATATTGGGGAAGCTGAATTTAATGGATATTTTAAACACTATGTGAGGCTTCACTGTAAATCATATTAGTTGTGCGATTAGGTCTTCTGGACATGTCAGAAGCTACACCCATAAAGTTTCACCAAGATAGTGACCTAAACAGAGCCCAAAGAAGGAAGACATTAATAGAGACCCTAATGAGGGTGGAGGGTTGTTCCAGAAGCTTAGAGTCACCTGAGAAGGAACTGTCCATTGAGGGGTTGCTTGAAGACACACTGTCCTGTGAGCAAGTCTGTGGTAGACTGTCTTGATTGTCTACTCATATAGGAGGATCTGGCCTTCTGTGAGCCAGAAAGCTAAACATGAACAAAACATCAAGGGAGCAAGCAGTTCCCCTCATACCTTCTGCTTCAAGATGCTGTTTGACTTCCTGCCCTATCTTCCCTCAGTGAAGGACAATGCATGGAAGCATGAGTCACAGGACTCCTTTCCTTGCCTGCATCACTTTTGATCAGATCAACTAGAGAGTTAAAGGTTTGGAACTCTGAAATTTATAATTTATCTATAGAGATGAGAATATATTTGTCAATTATTGCCTTCGCCACATATTACTACGCCACCCATGCTTAAGATCTGTATTTCCTCCGACTATCCAATGGCTTCTTTCTAGTTTTCAGATTCTATAGGTATTGCAAGATAAGATTGTGCTTTACATCCGCATATGTGTGAGACCATTTGTATTTTTGTCTTTTGCTGTTTGCCTTTTTGGGAGACCTAACTCAATATAATGTGTTCCAGTATGTCCTTTTAACTGATTTCATAACTCATTTTGCCATAATTTCCTAAATATATATTTATCTATTCATATAAAATAATTTGAGCTTACCCTATGTAAAGTTGATTTATCATTTGACATGATGTTTAAAAGCCTAGTAAGTAATCTAACTAGAATTAAAATGTCAGCATGTCTATTTATTGACATACAAATTTATATCATTCAGATTATTAAACAATGGTCTTAATATTTTTTTTAAACCAAGTGGGTTTTCCTAGTAACAGGAACAGGAACTATTTCTGACATGAACTCAGTGACTGGCTCCTTTACCTCCCTCCACCCCCGAGAGAGGAACAGCCTTGCTAGTCCACAGAGGAGGACATTGCAACCAGTCCTGAAGATACCTAATAGGGTCAGAAGGAAAGAGAGGAAGACTTGGAAAGGGACAGGGAGGAGATGTGGGAGGCAGGGTGGGATTGGGAGGGAATGAGGGAGGGGGCTACTGCTAGGATACAAAGTAAATAACCTGTGATCAATATTAAAAAATAAAAATTAAAGAAAAAAGAAAAAATATTTTAATAAAAAAAATCTCAACTATTTAAGGTTTTTACTATCTAATGGAATACTTGAGTATTGATGAAAAGTATCAGTTTAAAATTATTTTTAATTATTTACATGTAAGTTGGCACTATATACACATTAATTTAAAAATATCAAAGACTTCAAATATAAGCTTTCTTATTTTCCTAAAACACATGCCTTATAAGGACAGACTATATATGTAAGCCTATGACACCACTAATGTTGACATCACTATAGATGACATAAAATGTTGATTATTGGTTTTCTTTTAGTGACAGAAACCAGGCTTACAACTAATTCAATAACACAGCAATGTAAGTATGGCTGGTTGCCTCCATCTTTATCTCTCCTAGCTAGCTAAACAAATGCTGTAATCATTAGTTTATATCACCTTAAAATATCTTCTCCATCTTTTCTTTCCTTTTTCTTTCTTTTTTTCTTGAAGTTGTTCAAACAGAAATATTTTTGAATGAGTAGTAAGTGTCAGTATTAGCAGGTACCACATTTAAAGACAATAAATCAGCATAACTAATGCATACTAAGGTAAAACACTAATATTAGTTAAAAATAGCTTAGCTTATGAGTACAGATAACAATTAAGTTCATTACCTTTGATCAACATAATGCTTTATGTATAATAATGTTATTCAAGTCTAATTTATATGTTTTGATTTAACTGCAGTTTTGATGGAATCAATCTAATCATAAATCTACAAACTCTTTTTTCTGTTTTCACTTTTCTCCAGCGGGCCTGGCTGAGCTTTGCCTGGATACCTACTGCATTACTCAGTAAGAAGTCAACAGACAGCCAAGACTACATGAACAGTTTTAGGGCATTTTCTGTTTCGATTGTCAGTAGTAAACCAACGAACAATGGATGTCTCTGGATCAAAACATATATATAGAAGGAAAATATTGCGCTTGCTTTCTTGTTTCTCTTGTACCCGAGATCAGAGTAAACGCAAACATAGATCCCATGAGGTGGGAAAACACCTCTGTAGAGAAAATAAGGCGTTGAGAGAGGAAAACAAGGCTCTGCGAAAAGACAACAAATGCCTCTGGGGGGAAAACAAAGCCCTGGGAAGAGAAAATGAGACCTTTCGGATGGACAACCAGTTCATCAGGGAAAGAAATCATATCCTAAGGCAGCAAAACCAGCTACTCCGGAAGGTGAAAAGGTTGATTTTAGAGAACCCAAAGCTGCCTGGCGAAGAACTCAGTGCCTTGAACACAGAAGGAAATACTTTCTGGCAGCAGAATCGAGCCATGGAGGCTCAGATCACAGCTCTCCGACAACAAGAGAAAGCCTTCCAGAATGAGGCTAAGGCTCTACATGAAGAAATCAAATCCCTGCGTGAAGAGACCAAGGCTCTCCAGCACCAGGAGACAGCTCTCAGATTGGAAGAAAAAGCCCTGATGAAGGATAGAGTGGGTGCCGAGCTGGAGGAGGCCCTGACAAAGGAGGGGGTTGCTCTAGAGATGGAAGAACAAGCTTTGTGGAAGGAGGAGGAGGCTCTTCGGGAGGAGAACAAGGCACTGAGAGAAGAGCACGGGGCTCTACAAGATGAAGAAACTGCCCTGCAGGAGGAGGCGAAAATCCTGCAGGAGTGGAATAATCTTCTTCAGGGGAAAATCACAACCACCCACTCAGGAAAAGATGCACAATAATGACCCAGAGAAGTGTGACCTAAGAATACAAACGCAATGTCATGACCATCGCTGTATTTCAGAACATAAAACCTAGAATTCGAAGGCGAAAGATTATTGTCAGAAGCCTCAGAAATTGAAGTGCTCAATATTTGGTCCTAAATATTGGAAACTAAATAAAGGCCTGAGAAATCAACAAGAATATATGGTTGCGTAGTTTTCTCTAAGTTATAGATGATTTTTGGCAGCATTAACCAAACATTTGATGTGTAAGTTTGTTTTACCCTTTGGATGAATTTTGGTGGACATAATGGACCATTGTGAGAAATGAATGGCAAGTATTTTCCTTATATTTTTCTTTTTTGTTGTTGTTTATTTAATGTTTTATAATGTCCATCATGTATCTGTATTCTCAGCACCTGGGAAAAACATTCCCAGGGACCAGGGGCTTAAGGTTGTTCTTGATGCTACATAGAGTTTTCAAGGTAGCCTGTGCAAAAGGAGACCTTGTCTCCAAAAACAAGGCAACAATATTTTTTCTTTTATAAATTAAATGAGTAAGAAATATATATGTGCCTAATCTGGATATTGAAGAATGTTGCTTCTGCCTCCTTTACATGCTAAATACATATCTAGTAAAGATCCTTATGCTAGTAAGTATTTTTAGATGTGTTAGTACAAACAGTATTAGTGTTCGCAGTTTCCTTACATTTTAATTTTTATTTATTGTATGCCTTTTAATTATTGAAAGGAATACTTCTTTTCACAAAATCTTATTAAATATCGGGAAAGAAAAAGAGAATGAAGCTTTCCAAAATCCAAGAGAATTGTTATACGTTGAAATGTGAATACCTAAAAAAAATTCTGTTCAAAAGAAATTAAAGGGCCATGTGTGGTGGAAGAGACCTATAATTTTGCCACTCTGGACAAAGAGGCAGGAAAAGCTTTGAGACTGAGTTAAAACCGGTTAGCATCCTTTTAGCTCATCAGCGGCCACATGTGAAATCTTGCCTTAAAATGAAAAAAGAAAAAAAAAAAAGAAATAGAGAAATATTTGAATTTTCATATTATAATATTATAATAACAGTTGATCTAACTGTGCTTAAAAAAATCATTCTTCACAGTTACATAATTCATTATGTATCACGTTTTAGAATATTAGAAAAGAAGCTTTAAAGGCTATGTATTATGGTCATTGCTTTACACTTTAAAAACTTAATTCACTGTAAATAAATAGTTTCTATTGAATATATCTGAAATAGCTTGTCTCTGGCAGTGTGCTTTTAGGAAATGGGAATGTAAAAAAAAAAGGCATAAAAATGGAACACATGCTTCCATGTCTGCAAATAATCATACATGTCTATAAAATGTATCTCATATCTTTCTCAACAGTGCTGTTCAAATAAATTTAATAAAAATAATGCCATACTTCAAAATTAAGATACCATAGTTTGTTCATTGCACATTGACTCAAACACACCACTTTAGTTCTTATGCAGTTTATCTATCTAAAATTGTATTGGTCATTTTTATGTCATATTTAGTTTCCACATTTGTGTTCTGACCTTGGAGGAAAACATGATATGGCATGGTGTATATATGTGTTTGACAGAGTTATAATCTGTTTAGAACCAATAAAAAATTCAGTAAATTCATAATTGGTTCTACTTCAATGTTGATAAATGCCTGAAAGCCAACTTTAGGAATCTAGACATGAGTGGAGTGGCTCCTCTGTAGTTTATATATTATTATATGACATTCTTTACAGATAATAGCAAAAGTACTTTACCTCAGAACATGGTAAGAGGGCAGGAGGCATGCTCCCTCTGCGTGGAAACAGTCACCAAGGGCTTCTCTCAGTCATAAATTTCTCATTATTGCATCACAGCTAAAGAGCAATAATTCCTTTGAAAGTGAAGGTACTAACTGGCAAGCCCAACTTTTTACCAGGGGACCACAAACCATACGCAGACAAGTATATATTCATTTATATATATATAAATGAAGCATATAAAGTATTAAGTTTATGAGAAATGTTTGCAATAAGGTTATTCTTTGGCATGTATTGTTATAACTCAATTGCTTTTATAGAATGTAAACATTGTAGATGGTATTTCACTCCCATTTCTAAAACGTTGAATATGTCTCATATAGAGCATATTTCAGATTTTCAGTCTCTTTTCTTGTAATGCAACTTTCCCCAGTTCCAGGCTTGGTCTTATCTAGAGTGATAAAGTAATGAAGAAAAAACAGACACAGATAAACAAACAAACAAACAAAAGATGGTATTTGGTTATTGGTCTTTGATGAAGATACATCAGCATCCTTGAAGCTTAGCATATTATACAGAGTTAAGCAGTGTGGAAGGTTGATGTACACAAGTGAACAAGATGATGATGTTATTACATAAAGATAATGGTTTATGGTTTATAGTCTATGGTTTGATCCAGAAAACAGGTTTGGGATACATTTAGCACATTCTCATTAACTTGTACGTGTATTTTAAATGTGTTGCATAAGAAAGTCAATTTCATTTTATGTCCATGCTTGGTTTTTAAATGGACATCTCCTATAAATCAAAAACAAATTCCAACCCAGCAATCTGTTGCATACAAGAAACACACCTAAGACACAAAGATAGACATTACCTGAGGGTAAAAGGTTGGAAGATGACTTTCCAAGCAAATGGACCCAAGAAACAAGCAGGAGTAGCCATTCTAATATCTGATAAAATAGACTTTCAACCAAAATTAATAAAAAGAGATGAGGAAGGACACTTCATACTCATCAAGGGAAAATTCCACCAGGAAGACATCACAATCCTGAACATCTATGCCCCAAATACAAGAGCACCCACATTTGTAAAAGAAACATTGATAAAATTTAAACCACATATAGATCCCCACACATTAATAGTGGGAGACTTCAACACCCCACTCTCGACAAAGGACAGGTCAACAAAACAGAAATTAAACAAAGAAACAATATCTCTGACAGAGGTCATGAATCAAATGGACCTCACAGACATTTACAGAACTTTACACCCAAACACAAAAGAATTTACCTTCTTCTCAGCACCTCATGGAACCTTCTCCAAAATAGACCATATAGTTGGTCACAAAGCAAGCCTCAACAGATACAAGGTTTTTTTTTTTTTATTTTTATTTTCACATCATTTAGGAGCTCAGCATCTCTAGGCTCTCATCTTCAATCTTTCTTTAATCTTTTTATCCTGAGTTATGATTTGAATTCAAAATGCCGACAACACAGTCATGCTTGTTCTCCAGTTGGTGGTATTCTGGAATCAGGGAACCTTTAGGAGTTAGTAGCTGGCAGAAGTAGTTCACTTGGACAGGTCATGGAAGGTTAAATTTGGGTCCTTATTCTTGCCTTGCACATTTTGAGTCCTGGTCTCATGCAGTGAACTTAGCTGTGAGCTCTTGCTCCAGACTTTCCAAGTCATAACTTTCTCAAACCATTTGATTCATTAAATAAAATAGATCTTTCCTCTATTAAGCTGGCTGGTATTTTATCACAGTGAAACAAATGTCATAACATACCCAGTGTTTATCTTGATGGTATTTTTCTCAGGCTGATATAGTTTTATTCTCAGGAATTACAGTATTTCTATGATATCTTTCTTCCCCCTCACTGTATTTCTGATAACTTAGTCTGTTTTCTGTAAGGATGATACAGCTTCCATGAAAGCAAAATGATATATATCCTATATGATAAGTCATCTTCATACTTCTGCTTAGGCGTTCAGACAATCTAATCTCTGTTATATGGATGGGAGTATCATTCCATAACTTTATTCTTAGACTTCTTAGATTTAGGTTATACATGGATGGTTGTTTCATCAATATGCTATTCACCTCTGTTCTTTGATTTTCCATTGTAAAAGCTCACTGATTATATACCTACTTTAAAATTTTGTGATTGTCAATCTTAGCTTGAAATTAGAAGTGTGAATTGCTCTTCCCAACCTTTAGCTTATTTCCTTCACTTAGCTAACTCTTGTGGCATCAAATTTACTTTACCACCGGCCTCATTTTATTATTGTTGCTCCTCCTTTCTCTTATTCCTCACCTCCAATTTTGGATTACCATAATGCCTGATTTTAAAAAAAAATTCTCAAGTCCTGCTCTTGCACTTTTTTATTTTTTTAAAATAAAGATTTTATTTTATGTACAAGTGCTCTATCTGCATGCACACCCACATGACAAAAGAGGACATTGGGAGCTATAGAAGGTTATGAGCCACCATGTGGTCTCTGAGATTGAACTCAGGACCTTTAGGAAGAGCATGCAATGCTATTAACCACTGAGCCATCTGGGCAGAGTGCAGGGAGTCTTATGGAAGAAGAAGTGGGAAGATAGAAGGACATGGAGGGAATAGGATCCCCACAAGGAGACAAACAAAGCAAAAATTTCTGAGTCCAGGGGGTCCTGCAGAGACTGATACACCAACAAAGAAACATAGATGGAGAGGACCTGAACTCCCTGCTCAGCTGTAGCCAATTGGCAGCTCAGTCTCCAGGTGGGTATCCTAGTGAGTGGAGCAGGGGCTCCCTCTCCCTCATTAACTCGATTGCCTGCTCTTTGATTACTTGCCTCTGCGTGCAGTCTTGCCAATCCACAGAGGAAGAAGATCCAGGCAGTCTTGATGAGACTTGATAAGCTACAGGCAGAAGACATAGGAGGCGAACTTTCCCCTCTCAGTGGACAAGGGAAAAGGGATGGGGTAAACAGGGAGGGAGGGTAGGACCGGGAAGTTGAGGGAGGGGACATCGATTGGGATATATAATGAATAAATTGTGAAAAAAAATAAAATATTGAATCTGTATTGCAAAGGGTTGAAAAATATAGAATGCTGAATCCTTGTGACATTGTATATCTCATTGAATTATCAGAGCAGAAGAAGCTAGATAAAAGTATTGAAAACTGAATAAAAGCCTGGTCCATTATTAGCACAGATACAGTGGTATGAGCAAACATATTAATGCTCAAAAGAAATATCCA